TTTAAAGATGTTAATTTTTACAATTAAAATCAGTCTGGCAAACAAATTTTCTTTATAGACTTCAAAACGTCGTTTGGCGAAAATGTTTGTTTCGCAAGTGCGACTTCCGAAACCGCTACTTTCGTATGTTGCAAAATAGTTTTGTTTCGTATGTCAACTTGCGAAATACTAAATTTCGGAAGTGGCTTTTGCGAAATGAACATCGGCGATTTTAAATGTTTTGTAACATTCGGTACGAAAAAATGTAATTCCGTGTTCTCAATCTCCTTACGAAAGAATGTTGTTTTTCCGGAATTGCACGAAATCCTCCGGTTAACAACCCTAGTTCAAAGTTGATTTTAAGACTTAGTAAGATAATAGATCAAAGTATTTGCTAGTTTTTAAGAACTAGCATATGTTTTGATATCGCAATCTGCAAAGTCTTTGCAAATTTCAATAATGTCTTTGTAGATATTATTATTATGTATCTTTGCCACTGATACAAAGTAATAATATCTACAAAGACATTATAATAATGTAATGCAAATACTGAAAAAAAAAGTTATGTTCTAAGAATCTTACAATAATGATTATTGTAAGATTCTTAGAACATAACTTTTTTTTTCAGTATTTGAGCTTTGAATATTACATCCACCACATTACCATATCACTTCTTTAATATTAAAAATAAATTGCTACATATATTAATCGTATTTCTGGTAATACTATATATGTGACCTTAAAAATAATTTATTTACTTTTATAAATAGTGTTAAGCTAAATCTGTGTTTCGTTTCATTTCGGACTATATATATATATATATATATATATATATATATATATATATATATATATATATATATATATATATATATATATATAGAGAGAGAGAGAGAGAGAGAGAGAGAGAGAGTTGCAACCCCAAAGAAAACGGTGTGTTTTTTTTTACAAAAAAAACAGACTGGTTCTAAAAACACGTTTTTTATAGTTTTTTTTTTGCTTTTTTTTAGTATTCATTAAATTTTAGATAATAATAATACTTGAAACAGTTCCAGTGCCCTTAAACCTACAAAATACAAATGTTTTCTATTTAATAAAATGCATATTAACTTATATAATAGCTGTTACAAACTAATCACCAATATTAAAAAAAAACAGTATTAAATATTTAAAAAAGTAATTTTTTAAATAAATCTCAAAAAAACTATACTATTAGCTACTAGTTGATTGAAGTATAATACTACTGAATGAAGGAAATAAAAATGTTATTTTAGCAGTGTTATTTCATTCATAAAAATGAATGAAATAACACTGCATTGCAAAATACAAAAATGAACCAACTGTTAAATAAAATTTACTTTAATGTTTTATTTACTTTTGTATATTACTTTTTTAAATTTTTAATATTTAATTTCTTTATTTTATTTTAAATTGCAATTAGATAGCTAAAATTTTATTTATTCAAACAATATTCAAGTAAATAAAAATAACACAATGATTAACTTTGTCTAATAAAAAAATATTTATATTAAACAATTTGTAATCTATTAATTATTTTTAATTAAAAAAAAAAAGAAATCTAAAAAAAAATATGCCAGGCAATAGAAGACCTTAATGAACAAGAAAGCCAGAATACAGAATCTGTTATTAATTAAAAATAAATCTTTTAAATGATGTACTATATATTTACCATATATCATGTTATTAATATATATTATATTACATTTATAATAAAAATAAAAATTAAATAAAAGTAAATAATTTTTTTTTTTTATTATAAATGTAATATAATATATAAAAAACAAAAAAAAACCATAAAAAACACAAAAAAACATGTTTTTTTTGCAAAAAATAAACAATTAAAAAAAAAACGGTTTTTTTTGCAACTCTATTTATATATATATATATAAATATATAAATATATATAGAGAGAGATAATATATATATATATATATATATATATATATATATATATATATATATATATATATATATATATATATATATATATATATATATATATATATATATATATATATATATATATATATATATATATATATATATATATATATATATATATATATATATATATATATAAAATATAGTTTAAAAAACGAATAATAAATAAAGAATCGGATAACTCGAGTAGGACCAGGATGCCACCGAGAAACTGCTCCAGCAAAAGTAGAATGATTTGGATGATTATAACGTTAATATTTAAATGTATATTTTCTTAATGTTTTTTTAAAAATATTCCATCAATGAGATCTCAGCCTCTAAAAAAACACATTTGTAAAATCTTTTATTATCAAATTTTTCAAACTGCTAGTTTTTCTTTGCTTTTCGGTGCCCACAGCGTTTGCAGTAATCAATCGAACATACTTTGACTTTTGAGATCATTTTAAATAAGCAATAAATTTAAATTTAATAATATAGCAATAAAACTGTTAAAAAACCGTCATTAAAACTAAATTAATAACAGCGCTTTTTTTGGGAATGAATGCCATCATTATCAACATATTTTATAAGTTTGTTTACATTAAGTTTAAATTTGTCAAATTTAAATCAACGAATTAGAATGGAATTAGAAAAAAGGCAATAATTTGTCAACATCAATCTAAAAAGCAAAAAAATTTGATTCAGTATTTAACATAGAAACAAGGTCAGCATTATTTGTTGACCTCAAACACTTTTAGGTTGGCATTGCTGCATGCCACCCCTAATTCTGAGGGTTGTATATATATATATATATATATATATATATATATATATATATATATATATATATATATATATATATATATATATATATATATATATATATATATATATATATATATATATATATATATATATATATATATATATATATATATATATATATATATATATATATATATATATATATATATATATATATATATATATATATATATATATATATATATATATATATATATATATATATATATATATATATATGTATATATATATATATAGTATTATGTTACTTTATAATAATTTTTATGTTTTTATTTATAATTTATTAAAAAAAATAAGATTCTGTTTTCAATGTAGTTATTTTCTCCTTAATTTTGCTTATTTTTTATTCAAAAAATTGTCTTTCGTTTAAGTAAAATCTCTATAAATAATAGAAAAATGACTCCTTAAAATCCATACTTTTAGCGTCATTTTTAATAATGACTTCATATATTTTCTTTAACTTTTTTTTGGGAAAAGCAAAATTCAAAATTTTGCTTTCACTCTCTGATTGCTTAGAGGGATTATCTGAGCTTGAAAAGGATCTCACCTCTGCTACAGCATGGGGCTCACAATGGCTGGTGAACTTTATTTCAGATAAAACTCAATTTTTTTTAGCTAATCGTTATCACAATAGTTTAGATCTTCCTATATTTATGAATGATAATATACTAGATGAGTCATCTACCCTTCATCTTCTAGGATTAACTTTTACTTCTGATCTTTCTTTTAAATGGTATATCAAATCCATTGCAAAATTAGCATCTGCTAAGGCTGCATCTCTTTATCGAGCTCGACACTTCCTTACTCCAGATTCTCTTCTCTATCTCTATAAATCTTAAATCCGTCCCTGTATCGAATACTGCTGCTATATCTGGGGCGGATCTTCTAATAATGCCCTTTCTTTTTTAGATAAGGTGCAAAAACGCATTGTAAACATAGTTGGATTTGCTCTTGCAGCCAATCTCCAACCACTGTGACATCGTCGTGATGTTGCTTCACTTTCTCTTTTCTACAAATACTATAATGGGCACTGCTCTAAAGAGCTATCGTCCCTTGTTCCATCTACTAAAATTCATTCTCGTGTCACTCCCCATTCAATTAAGTGTCATCCTTTTTCTGAGACTGTTCCTAAGTGCTCCAAAAATTCTTATTCCTCTAGTTTTTTTCTTTGAACATCAGTTCTTTGAAATTCGCTTCCTTCATCTTATCTACAAATTCTATCTTTTCTCTTCCAGCAACTTCAAAACTCTTATAGTGGTTCCCGGCAGCCTTGTTGGAAGCGAAGATGTAATATATATATACATATATATATATATATATATATATATATATATATATATATATATATATATATATATATATATATATATATATGTGTGTGTGTATATATATATATATACATATATATATATATATATATATATATATATATATATATATATATATATATATATATATATATATATATATATGTGTGTATATATATATATATATATATATATATATATATTATATATATATATATATATATATATATATATATATATATATATATATATATATGTATATGTATATATATATATATATATATATATATATATATATATATATATATATATATATATGTATATGTATATATATATATATATATATATATATATATATATATATATATATATATATATATATATATATATATATATATATATATATATATGTATATATATATATATATATATGTATATATATATATATATATGTATATATATATATATATATATATATATATATATATATATATATATATATATATATATATATATATAACTTATAATAGCATATTGTTTTTTAATTAACTAATATATAGTCTTTCATTAATTTACTTATCTTAAGAATAATGAAATATAAAAAAGGTTTAAAGTTGAGAATAGTTTTGATCTTTACTAGTTTGATTCTATCGCCAAGTTTCTTGAAGGTGATCAATCATTTCTCTATACAAATGTTGTAAAAAGTAGTATATTTTTTATTATGGTTGAATGTTTAGTTTTCTTTTTAAGGGTAAATTACTATCATAAATTACATAAAAAATATTGATCTGTATTTATATACATAATCACTTTACAAATAAACATAACTTACACAAAATTTTTGAATTGATTAAAACACTAATGTATTGCTTCTATGCCCAATATAACTTAAACTAAATTGTCCCATATTAATTACACTAGTGTTATCTTTTGAATTTAGAAATAGAAGTTATTAAATGTTGGTGGCTCATAATGCAGTGCATTTGAGAAAGGCATGCTTTCAAAGTAAGTATAATTTTACTATAAATAGAGCATTTTTAATACCGCAATTATATTACATACTTGATATACATAAGTATATAAGCTGGTCACAACAATCCAGTCAAAAATTTCTTTAAAAAAATCAATTTAGTGTTGAGAAATTCGTATGTTTTGATGTTTGATGTTATGTTAATAAAATAATAATTATATATATATGTGTGCGTGCGTGTGTGTGTGTATATGTTGTTTATTTCCCCTTTTTTTTACATACTTATCTTGACAATTCTTTTTTAGGGTCAAGACTGCTTTCCTGATTCCTACAACAACAAAAAAACTTTAAAATGCTGGTGGCAATATTTTAAAGAGTGCATCTGATCGAAAAGAAGGTGAATGACGTCAACTGTTTGAACATTCGATTCTTGGAAATTAACAAGTGGAAAAAGAAGTTTACAAAATTGTAATTTATAAAACTCAGCACAATTATATTATTAAAAAATTTAAACGATTTATAATTTTTTTCTTATTCTCAAGAAGTTCTGTGAAAACATAAATTTGAACCTTATGTTTAAGTAAAACCATGTAAAAACACCATATGCAATCAATCAATGGATAAAACCCAGATTTTTCTGGCAGAGGATCATCTGATGAAGATAATTTTCTGAATTTTTTATGCTGCTTAAATAAATTATAAAAACATAATAATCAACAGTGTATTTTGATTAACCTCTTGAACTGAAGAAGGTGCGTGGGGGAGGGGGGGGAGAGGAAGGAGTGTCATCCCCGCTAATTTAATATAAATACAATAACAAACAAATTATGGCACAAAGTATAAAAAATTTACAAACAGCAATAAATAGTTAATTAGCTGATAATAGCTGATAACCAATAATTATAGTTAATTATTTGTGATTAGCAGCCTCTTTGTTGCCAAACAGTAGTTATACAGCATCAACATCAAGAAACAAATTAGTGTTGGTATCTGATTTAGTATCTTTTTCACAAGATTTTATGTTAGGGAACTCCTTCGAAAACAGAGCTGGGTTTTTTTGCGGAGGTGATTTGCGGTAAGCAGCTCTTTGTCTTCCAGCTTTACAGCCCTTTCGCTAAATTATTGATAACAGCCAAGTTTTTGACGTACGACTGGAATTCTAAATAATCACAGAGATGATATTCCAAGAGCTAGCTGAATAAATCGTCCAATTGAAAATGGTTTTATCATGACTAAAAATATCAAAAATTAGCAATAATTCAGTAATGATGAAGTTTACCAGTTCTTGCTGCTGTCAAGAACAATCATGTCTTTTATCACAGGCAAGTAACCTTTTTTATTATTTCTATTCATGTCATAGTCATCTGGTCTGGGCATTTTATAGAGCATTTTTGTTAAACTCTTCTTTTCTTATTTAGAAATTGAAGCGTCTGAATTTTCCAGCAAAATGGAAACAACAGTTGGATCAAAGTACCAGCTATAGTTTCCCCATGACTTAAATACTGCACTGGCAGCAGGTTCATTCTCAACATATTGCACTGGCAGCAGGTTCATTCTCAACATACTGCACTGGCAGCAGGTTCATTCTCAACATACTGCACTGGCAGCAGGTTCATTCTCAACATACTGCACTGGCAGCAGGTTCATTCTCAACATATTGCACTGGCAGCAGGTTCATTCTCAACATATTGCACTGGCAGCAGGTTCATTCTCAACATATTGCACTGGCAGCAGGTTCATTCTCAACATACTGCACTGGCAGCAGGTTCATTCTCAACATATTGCACTGGCAGCAGGTTCATTCTCAACATATTGCACTGGCAGCAGGTTCATTCTCAACATATTGCACTGGCAGCAGGTTCATTCTCAACATACTGCACTGGCAGCAGGTTCATTCTCAACATATTGCACTGGCAGCAGGTTCATTCTCAACATATTGCACTGGCAGCAGGTTCATTCTCAACATATTTGCACTGGCAGCAGGTTCATTCTCAACATATTTGGACATCGAAATATGTTGAGAAATAGAGCTCAAGTCCTAAAAAACGAAAAATAAAAAAATAAAAAATAATTTTTGTAATTTCATAAATCCTAGTTTCTTAAATTTGTACATAAAGCTTGTTTCTAGGTACTTAAAACATAAGTCAGCTTATGATAGTCAACTCTGCTTACTAATCTAAAATTATAATTATTTTTAAATATTTTTAGTGAATGTTCCCTCTAAATTTAGGTAGTATTTTGTAATAAAAAAATGCAATTCAAAACAATTGACAAAAACAATTGTTTAGTGTTTTAGTACACGTTTGTTTACAATTGTTTTAAACTAATCTCTGTGTTTTTAAAAGCTTGGGTCATCATAATTTGGTTCTTAGCTTCAATGGCTTGAGCTTCCGGCCAAGTTCCTAGAACAGACGTCTATTCGAACCTGTTCAGCTGGTAACTTTTAGTATCAATAGAGCACCATTATTTTAAAGGATGTAAAAAGAGGAATTTTAAAACCAACAATAGCCTAGCAACCAGCAGCGTTTTCGAAATGCTTGATGTGGACCTCTTTGACGTTGCCACGGCAGGTCAACATCAGTAAGGGCAAGGACAGATCTCAAACTTAAAAGTACATAGCGTTCTTACATTCTATATTTACTACAGTCAATTTAGTATCAATATTTCTTTAGCCTTACATAGTTGTTTAAGGATTTTGAAAATTCAAACAACTTATTTAGTATTAAGATTTCAAAAATATTTTCTTATTATTTTACCTTTAAAACTCCACGCAGTTATGCTGCTAGTAGTTTTTGAGCAGATTGATATTGTCTTCTATACCCTCTTTTTTCATAAAATCGCTGATTGGATTAAACTGGTTTAGTCCAGTGATGGACTCAGTATTTGGTGCACCTAGCAGAACCTTGCCATCGAAACTTACAAGTACACAAGTTTGACGCCGTGGTACTGCAATAACTTTTTTAACTTTTCAAAATCTTTAAATTTTTCGAACTAAGTATTTTATTTTTCACTCTGTACACACTTATTTGCTTACTTTCCCCTTCAATTACCGATTTCGTTAGAGTAGTAGTGATTCTATTAACAATTATGTTGACTCCCAGAACTGTTCTGATTGTGTTATAAAGACAAACATGTCTTTGCTAATTTCATTATATTGAGGTTGCACATTTTAATGTTTTTGTGGGTTTTTTTTCTGGAAGCGACAGATCCTTGCCTAGTCTTGGGCTACGACTTCTTCAGGTTCATAAACTTTGTGATATATACCTTGATAATCGTAATCAACCAGTTAGCACTGATAACTTGAAATATATATATATATATATATATATATATATATATATATATATATATATATATATATATATATATATATATATATATATATATATATATATATATATATATATATATATATATATATATATAAGCTATGTAAACATAAGGGATTTTAGAATGCATTCCTCTTGACGCTGCTCTTTTACTGTGCACATATTAATTCGTTTCAAAAACAAAGGACTACAAATTTTTTTAGCTTTTTAAAAAGGTTATCATTTGAACCATAGTTCTAATTATTATAATGTTATTATAATAATAAAACTATAATGTTAAAATATTATAAGTAATAGTTTACTTTATTTTTTATTTCAGAAAAAATATCCTACCTGAAACCAACACCAAGCTGGCAAGATATCAGTAAGTTGATTTTTTTCTTCTGTTGCTTCTTTTCCAAGAGAAAACAGAAACGTGTTTAATAAGAAATAATATAATTGCATCATTATCAGAAATAATCAAGAAGAAAATTTTGAAAAACGTCTTTTTTAAACCAAAAGTTGACTGGGTAGGGTGAAGAGAAGACTGTAAAGCAAGCAAATCCTTAGTAACAGTGAGCTCTTTATCAATATCTTAAATAAATATAGTGCTCTCTTCAAATGCTATAAAAAGTGACTCAAATATATACGGTATATATTTGTAATATATACCGTATATCAGTATATATTTGTAATATATATTTGCCATACGGTCAGTCAGTCAAGACATATGGTCAGTTTTTTTTTATATCGGTTCTATACGTCGGACAACAGTTCGTCTTGACAAACTAATTTTTTCAAGTTCATTTTTCTTTTTAGGACAAAAAACACTGCAAATTTTTAACATAACCTGCTTGATAAATTCTCCTTCGATGATTAAATGATTTTAATGACTTTGCCAACTTTGAACTAACTACAAAACTTTCACAACATTATTAAGTTGTGTTCTTTGTTTAACAAACGTGTGCTGCTGTTTTTTCAAATTTGCGGTAAGCTCTTGGGTTTTATCTTTTCTTATTTGTCCTGTCATTGAGTGAAGCGTAGAGTGCTTAGTTAAGTAATGCCTCTTTCTATTAAATTTTATCATCACTGAAATGGATTCATTACACAGCAAACAAATAGGTTTACTATGGTGCATAAAAAAGAAGAATTCTTCTGTTCATTTTTCTTGAAATTGGCAACCCTTTCCATCTAGGGGAGAGGGGGTTGGTTGTCACTCTTTTTACATTTTAGACTGCTTAGCTTTTATTTTTCATCAAATCAATGCCAAACTTTGCCAGAAAGTAATTTAACTATTTCCGGTAAATATTACAAAATTTTTATGACATTAAGTGAAATATTTTTTGCTGTAAAATCATTTATCAAAAACCGTGTGACAACCAACCCCAACCACGGGATTCGTTGTCACATACTATGGGGCTGGTTGTCACATTTCTTGGTACTTTTTGATTAAATTTAAAACTAGCACCAATAAATTTTGCTTATTAATGTAAAGAATAAATCTAAATTATCTGAAAAAAAAATAGGCTATATACTGAAAAAAAAAATACTGTACACCAAAAAATGTTTTTTTATGGCTATTTTTGGCAAGTCCCCTGTTCTCTTGATTGGCTGTTAGCAAATGATTCAAAACAATAGATACATAGATACTCTTCATCTTTAGGTGAATTTAACTGTAGAAGTTTTTTTGGTGCAAAATTTAACTTTATTAATTCTTTTTACTTCCATTAGTAAATGATTTAAGATGCGTATTAATATTACTTTTTTTAGTTTTTAATTCTAATAAAAAAAAATATTTCTTCCATAGTAGAGCGTCTTTTTTGCAAAATTAGTTTTTTCTATAAACTAAAAAAACATTCTTCCCGATTAAATTTACGCATTATTTTTTTCTCTCTAAGAATAGTTAATAAATGGAACTCTCTTCCTAATGAGATTGTAACCGCTTTATCACTAAAATCATTTAAGCTACTTCTAGACAATCTTTTAAAAAATGAATGGCTTCTCTATACTAATCTGCATTTATTTCATTTTAGTTATAAAGTTTCTATAGTTTTCAAATATTATATGAGACCAGGTTGAA